AAATAAAATGTGTCAAAATGGCACTACTACGCTTCCGTAAAGATGCGCAATCTTTCTTCAAAAATTTAAAATTTCCACTGTTGCCATGAAAACTGATAATTAAGAAGTTTTTTTTTTTAATTTCATCTTTCTCCGCTGCTTTTACTCAAATATTTTTGAAACTTTAAAGAAGTATTCCTTGCCTCCTGTCAAAACAAATTATGCAAAAAAAATGGAAAGGGGTGACTGAAAAAAAACGATTGATTGAAGAAAAGTTGATTTCAGGTGACCAATTTGGTGTTAAATTGCTAGTTATTCCGTCCTGCAAGTTTCTCAAAAATGGCCAGGACAAACCTCTTAAGACTTCATAGAAATTTTAACCACCACATGTAGTTGTGCTTAAGCCCTTCAAATTTTCAAATTTGTCACTGTTGCCATGGCAACAGACACAAAGTCATTTTTTTTTAATTTTGGGTTTTTTCTGTAATTTGTCATAAAATCTGTCTTGTTACTTCATTGAGTTGTTGGTCGCATCCTATCAAAGTGATTCCTGCAAAATAATGGAACAGAATCGACAAAAAGAAAGAATAATTTAAAAAAAAGAAAAATTAAAAATGCAGTCGAGTCATCTATTTCGCGATGTTTCCACACATGGTTTTGTCCTTGAATGCTTTCCTAGAAAGCTTTGACGATGTTATTGAAACCTTCCACAGAAGTAATTACTATTGGTAGATTTGCGAATTTCATTTAAAATCTTCTCCAATGTTGTCATAAGAATATAAAAAAAATAATTCAAGTGCAGTTTCCTGAAACGAGGGGCCAAAAAAAAAAAAACCTTGAGTAAACGTGTATGTTTCATCTTTTTAAAATTGTGATTTATTCAATTTCTTTGTCTTCCTAATTTCTTTTTCCGTAATAATCCAAGGGTACATTAAGGTCCGTCTATGAAGCTTTTATAATTATATTATCAGTTTCTTGATATGATTAAGAAGAAATTAAACACCTTGGCATTTCAAAGAAAAAAAAAAAAAAAAAAAAAAAAAAAAAAAAAAAAAACGTAGGACCAACGTTTTTTAAACACTACAAAGCATTTTATATTCATTTATGTAGTTTACGTGGGCGCTACTGGACATTGCGAAATAGCGCACAGCGGACTTCGGACTTAGACTTTTACAGCAGACTTTTCAAATTAAAGGGACCAGTATAAAAAATTGAAAAAGATCAAATTATAACAAATCAACTGAAAATGTATAGGGCTCTAAAAATTATTAATAACTTTTAATCGAATTATCGTGTTCAAATTCTTATTTTGATTAGTTTGATTAGAAAGTTTGCAGAAAATTTATCAGAAAACATACCGTTTTTTTCCCTTCTTTTTTTCTTTCTAAAGGGCGTTTTAAAATACTAGTAGACAGGCCAAATAAATTAAATCTTTAAAAGTGAAATATTAATATTATAAGATTTAAAATATAAAGTAAAGAATATCTAAGTAAAATTAAATAAATAAACAAGTAAGAGAAAAAATAGAAGTTTAACAAATTCTAATTCTTACATGGTTTGTAGTTTATTCGACACCAGTAATCATGATATCAAGTGTCATTGAGGAAATAAAAAGGAAATTAATAAGTTCAACACTTTGAGATGTTCCCCTTATTTGAAGTCTTATTTGAAGTATGAAGTCTGTAGTCCATTGTCCGCTATTCCGCAAATGTCCACTAGAGTAATACACATAAGTAAATTGTGTAGAGGTGAAACACTTCTCTTGTGAAGGAGAAGAGACGGAAAACCATTCTATTTCCATAGCAAACAGTTTTTCGTAAATTAAAAGTGTTGTTTATATGTTGTGTGAGCATTTTTATTTCTTTTTTCTTTGAATAAAGAAGACAACGTAAGAAATATACAAGTATGATATCAAGCGGGTCGACATAAGAGTAAACTTTGAAGTACCCATACCAGGGAAGCAAAGTTTACATAAAAAAAAAACAACAAAAGTCAGCTCAGTTGTGTAATACTAGTATGCAAATGCTCATATGCAAAACTACTGACGTACTCTAACATAAAACTGAAAGATCACTCTCCCCTCCACCTGCTATTACTCTCCCGTCCTCTCTCTCTCTCTCTCTCTCTCTCTCTCTCTCTCTCTCTCTCTCTCTCTCTCTCTCTCCACACTCACTGTCTCTCCACACTCACTGTCTCTCCAAACTCACTGTATCTCCACACACTCTGTCTCTCCACACTCACTGTGTCTCCACACTCACTGTCTTTCCACACTCACTGTCTCTCCACACTCTCTGTCTCTCCACACTCAATGTCTCTCCACACTCTGTCTCTCCACACTCACTGTCTCTCCACACTCACTGTCTCTCCACACTCTCTGCCTCTCCCCACTCTCTGTCTCTCCCCACTCTCTGTCTCTCCACTGTCTCTGTCTCTCCACTGTCTCTCCCCACTCTAGTGTGGAGAGATAGAGAGTGTGGAGAGAAAGTGAGCGTGGAAAGACAGTGAGTGTTGCGAGACAGTGAGTGTGGAGAGACAGTAAGTGGAGAGACAGAGTGTGTGGAAAGACACTGAGTGTGGAAGACAGTGAGTGTGGAGAGACAGTAAGTGGAGAGACAGAGTGTGTGGAGAGACAGTGAGTGTGAAGAGACAGTGACTGGGGAGAGACAGTGATTGTCTCTCCACACTCACTGTCTCTCCACACTCTCTGTCTCTCAACTTTCTCTCCACACTCGTTACTCCACACTCACTGTCTTTCCACACTCTGTCTCTCCACTTACTGTCTCTCCACACGCACTGTCTCTCCACACTCACGCCCCTCCACACCCACTGTCTCTCCACGCTCTGTCTCTCCACACTCTCTCCACCCACTCACACTCTCCCCCTTTTCCCTTCTGTCTCTCTTTCTCTGCCTTACTCCCGACTCTCTCTTTCTTTCTCTCTCTCTTTCTTTTTTTTTCTTGTCCGTCTGACTCAGTTACCCCTTGGTCTTCTAAAATAAATTATATATATGCCTAATACATACATGTTTCATAGTTTTTATAATAAAAAATAATGGAGAAAATACTTATTCTAAAACAAAGAGAAAATTTTTATCGTTATTTTAAAATAAATTATAAAATGTTTTTTCTTGATCTTTTTACTTTAGAATTGATTAAGCAGAAATGTTTATTTATGCAAAAAATGAATGCAATTTAAAATTATACGGGCGATAACTTCACACAACAGAAAATACTGCTTGCCAGTTCACAATTATACACCATTGCGTTGTTTGCGTATTTAATGAGGAAGAAATTCATATGCTTGAAGAACAATAATTTTATGTTTACTAACATGCAAGGAAGATGATATGTCAGCTTGAAATCCCAGCTGGATATTATTTGTTGTACCGTTATGAAAAGTATCTAAATTATCCACATGCTGAGAGGAGGTCTATAAAATATTCTTTATTTGACCAAGTATGTAATAAGGGTTTGACATTCACTTTCCCTTTTCCTTGTATGCATTCAGTTTACTTAAATTATATATTTTTATAATTTTTGTCCTGTTCAGATATCGTGTCGTTGCGTTGAATGTTAGCCAAAATGCATTTGCATCATGACTCCGTCGTTAACGTTGTTCTACGCATTTCCATATTTTCCCATTGCATATGAATGTTCGTTTGGTGCTTTATTTAAATATTAATTGATTTCCGTTCTGTTGATGCTTTATCAAATATCAGACCTGAAATTGTAATGGTTTTCATATCGTGTGGTTTCGTTTCCTGGTAAGAATTGATTTAAATGTCTCAACTCAAATAAAAAATGGGAAAATTATGATTTTTTTTTCATTCTGACGTGTGTGGGGGGTTGGTGGGGTGGGGGTGTCATATTTTGGAAATAAATATGAAAAAATAGCAGCAATGTTGAGGCTTCCCGAAGCTTTCAAATGTGTTTAAAACAAATATTGAACTGCAAGCTCGGTTTTGATTTGAAATGGTAAGTTATGTACTTAAGTACAGCTAATTTATTTAGAGGTATCTCTCGGCTATTTATTAACGTATTTGTCATATCACATGGATTCGTTGATCACGTGAAGGTCAATTATAATTTTTTCCAAGTGTTGCACATAAAACGCTTTGGCGTAGGTGATTAATATTAATAATTATTATTATTTAATTTTTGTTACTAGTATCTAAATGAACTCGATCATGGTTTCCTTTTGTACCCAAAATGTGCTTGGGAAAAGTCATATATTTGTATAGTCTTTAACGAAATATTTCATGCTTACTTCAACTAACCAACAGATTTGAGGGGGGTTTTCACTTTGTATCGTATTCTATATTATACTCGAATGTACAACGAAGCCACAAACCAAATTTTGGCAAGCAAGAACAGGCACTTGTTTCGTGCACATTTAGGCACCCCTCCTTTTTTCCACAAGGTACCTAACTCAATTTCATACATCCCCACTTCAAACTCATATTTTATTAATTTATCAATCATTAACCTACTTTAATAAATCATAGTTTGCTTAGGAAAACTTTCGTTCCAGATGTCCTTCGTCTTTTTTGTAAATCACTCATCTAAAAATTTTCCTCGAAAATTGTCTCAACACATTTATTTTTTTTTTTCGTGGTGAAACCATTGTGTAAAAGACATGTGTTTCTTCGTATCTGATTAAAAAATATTGACACGCTTCATACTTATCCATTTTATGCCAAATATGAACCGATTTTTTAAGCAGTAAATTATAAGGGACCACGGTTGCTTATCCCGGACCCAGCATGACATAGTCAACTTAATTTTATTTAATTATTGTCAATGAATAATTCCCAGTAGCTCCATCTCACTTCAGTTACACCCATAAAAGAAAATAACCAAGGAATCTTTATGGAAAAAATAAAAGCTTGCATATAAATTCAGTCTATCTACTTTTAACGGAAATATATATTCCTATTTGGACCGGTTTTCTCTAAAGCGTTTTGCTTTGTTTACGAATGGCGGCGCGGATAAGTTGAAGCTTGAAGTTGAACGTTACTTTGTTGTGATAAAATTAATGATATTCGACATAAGGAATTAGATTAAACTGAGAAGATGACGACATATGACGAACTCTTCGATGCAGAAAGTAAGTTTTCCTTATGTATGCGTTCGCTGTAAATTGTACATGTTAATTTTTCGGTAATTTGTAAAACGTGCACTGACAGGTTTGTAACATTCGGCAGAATGGAGGAAATAATCGTTGCTGTGCATAATTGATTGATATTCGCCCCTATAATTATGCCAGTAAATTGTTTGCTGCAATGGAAATGATCTCAGTCATGACAAATGCATTTCAGAGTGTTAGAGCATTTTTAACTGAAAATAAACGATAACAAGTTTGGCTTTCCAGAAAGCCATAAATGTCATCTCTTTGGCTTCATGAATGTCACAGAATAAACAGTGGAATGTTACATTATTTTTTCAGCTATTACATGCAGTAGTATCGCTTTTGAAAAAAGGGGGGGGGGAATCGACGACTTATCTGAACAATCTTTGACAAGGGGGAAAAGGGGTTGTCCAAACTCCACATTTTCATTTCTTGAAAGGAGGATTAAAACTTTTCCAACAAACATATTTTATATTATAGTACATTCCCATGGGATGATTTGACGTACCATACTGCAACAAAAGATGGAAGATGGGGCAAGGACGCGCCTTTGAATGAATATTTTTAATGTTTGGGAAAAACATGGAAGGGGGACGACCCTCCTGTTGCTACATGCCTATATTATTTTACTTGTTGTAAATATGCTTTATTCATTTTGAATATTTTTTGTACAATGTCTGTAAAAAAAAATCTAACCACTGAGAAATATTCGTAAAAATTAGATATAAAACAATTGTTCCGTATGAAGATGGATAAAACCTTAGAGTTTCTTTTGACTTTAGTTTGTAGTCGCCTACTACAACAGCAAAGCAGTTTTAAAGCGCTAACTTAAATTAATCCGAACCTCAATTATAATTTCCAAAGATTTTCCTTATTTTAAACGTATCCTCCGAAGTGACTTGGCTATCGAGCCACTGGGAATATCAAGGAAAACATTGAGACACTCCTGCATCATATCCTTCTGCTGCCAATATGCAGATTCATGTGTTAACGCTATATTATGTTTATATAATATAAGTACATGTACACGTATACGCTTGTGGGAAAATAGCATGCATAGAAAGGTTATAAAATTGAAAAGTTACCATTTAAAATTAAGTATTTGCACACTGAAAAGAACCTCAATCTACAAACATCGATTTTATACGCTGTTTCACGAGACACACATTTTATAATTTTGGCTTTATTTCAAGAATACGAGGAGTGATTTTTTTTTTTTACTTTTTTCCATTAACAAAAAAATGCAAATTAGAATTGCATAAAAAATTAAATTGATAAGTTGCTTTATTTATTAATCCTTAAAAAACCTGAGCCAGGTCAAGAAAATTGTGTTTTTCCTAAAACTTTTCCGCAGGAGTAATTTTAAAGAAAAAAAAGAATAGTGAAGACATCCGAGAAAATACTCATAATGATTCTTTACTATTTTTATTCCAATGCCTGCAGCACTGAGCTACTTAAATCAGAGACATTAATTTGTGTTTCTGCTTAAATTGTGCTTTTAGGTAATATTTATTTCCTTCGAAATTTATTTTTTTTGAATAAGTTCTGTTTTATTTTACATATATACGGCAGTAATACATATGAAAGTTACGTTTTTGCCATTGTATATATGCATTTAACGTGAATGTTTTCACTGTTTTCTTTCGTCAGTAAATCTTGGATCCACGCCTTGGCTTATACATTCAATATGCCATGTTTTGTGTATTTTGATCCCCGCGCGCTGACCATCGTTTCTGCTTCTGCCAAGTATTGTCCACAATCAACAAGCTGATTATTATGGCAAATTTGGTGCGCATGATATGACCAAAAATTAAAACTTTAAAAGGTTAATATTAATAATATTTCTTACTTATGGTTAGAAGATGATCACCTGAGACCTAAAGGTGTCAGGTGTATTCGCCGAGACTATCATTCCACTCTTTGATGGTCCAAGGGAAATAGGAAAACTTTTTACGCAATAACCTAGATACAATGTTTATGTGTATTTTGAAGACCACCACCCCAGCAATCCAACCTCTATTATCCTAATGAACCCTGTGTAGTTTTACTTTAAGATGGACCATTTTGTAATAATAAGGCAGAACGCTCAATTTTGTTTACATCTCTATATTTAGAAATCGTGTCATCGTCAGGTCATTTGCCAGACCACCAGCTTATCGATGGCAGCTTACACTAGGACTTCACTTCCGGAAAACGAACTTAATGTGTCATCTCCCGAGGGAGATGACAATAAAGGCAGAGAAAAAAAAAAGGAAAGAAAAAAATCCTACCTAAACATCCAGTGGGTCATGTAAATCATGTTTCCGTCTGATGCTTGTTCTTATCCCCCAAAAAAACTGTTTCCACTTCTCGGAAAAGAAAATTTTCAGGGTTTCAGAGAATTCTTTATGCTCACAATTAGTGAATTACACTGTATTCATGGTTACATTTGTAATGATTTAGGCTGTGGTTATGAACCTTGGTAGTTCAGTGGTAAGAGCACCTGGCTAGTGATGCAGGGGCCTGAATTCAATTCCCAGTTCAGCCATACATTTTGTCCTTTCCTGTTACATAATTTGGAATTTGATGCAATTGCATGACCCCCCCCCCCCCCCGCCCCAGATTTGTAGACGAAAGTCCTTACTGCCAGGGGGGCAAAAAAAACTTGGGTTGTGTATTTGGCGGTGAAGACAATTTATGCAGGGAGGAATCTAATGGATTAAGCTGTGGATATTGATCTGGATAGCTCAGTGGTAGAGCCCCTGACTATAGTGATGCAGGGGTTTCGGGTTTGATTCCTGGTCCAGCCATATATTTTCTCCTTTCCTGTTACATATCATAAAGAAAAGTGCTAAGAAAATAGATCAAACCTGATTATGGTACTTTCTAACTTATATGCATGTATGTTATGGTATAAATTTTCTTTCTTACATATCAGGGTTCGACATTCACGCTCGTCACCTCGTCATTTCCATCCCGGAATGATTTTGGACGACCTAATTTTCAGTCTGGCTCACCCAAATGACGACCTGGGACAAGTTGGGAATATTCAATAATGTTGTTTAATATTTTAAAATACACTTTATAAGGCCTTGAAAACATTGTTTCCTGTAACCCGACCGACCCATTCAAATAGCAGCCGCGTGGATTTTTCTTTCTGCCAAATCTGTGTTTGATCAATCAGCTGATGTAATTTTTACCAAAAGTGTTAAATTAAGTTTTATTTGAGATATAAAATATGTAAACCTAGTCAACAATCGCCATAAAGAGTAATGATCATTGTTGTAACATCTAGCATTCCCCCCCCCCCCCCCAACTTTCTGGCTCTGGGGCCATAAAACTTAGATTATCTCACTTTTGATCTCAGTCTCACTCTCCCCTTATACATTCCTTTCGTAAAAGTGAGACTGAGATCAAAAGTGAGCTCGTCTAAGTTTTATGGCCCCGAAGCCTGATGTTCGTTTTCTCCTGCTAGACAGCCATGTTGGGTGTCCACTGTAAACATCACACCTGTTTAATTCAGTCCAGGGATGTTTGACCCCTCCCCTTTATTTAGGCCTTTATGGTAAGTGAAAATGAATGTTTTAAACTAGAAAGTTTATTTTGTGTCAGGTGAGATTGTGCATTAGCAAAAAAAAAAAAAAAACCATGACCTACCAACCTTTGATTTATTGGGAATATTACATGAAACAAACATAATTTTTTAAAGCCTAATTAGCATTCTGATTCTGCTTTTTAATATTTGTTGGCTGTTATCTTTGTTTGATAAAATACTGGAAGACAGCTTTTGGCATTCCAAAAATGCCTGGTTTACATTTTATGATACAAAAGCACAACTTCTGTTATATTAACAAATTTTAAACAATTGCACATTTTTGTTTCATTTGATATTTTGTTCGGGCGACCTGAAATTCATTCGGGCAACCTGAAATCAGTACCAAGGTTGCCCAAATGGCGAGTCCAAATTTTGATGAGTGCCGAACCCTGCATATGTAACAATTATTAATAATTTTTAAAAAGAAAAAATTGACCTAGTAAATTTTTTATGTAAGAGGACGACCTATTTCTTGACATCATGATATTTCTTACAACTTTACACAATTATCTTCATTTTACATGTTTAAATTCTTTTTGATTATTATAAATAGAAAATTCTAAATTTTTCTTCAGAAGATAACTCTACACCAGACATTAACCTCTTCAACTTTGAGGATCCTAAATTTGAGGACAGCAAATATGTCCTTACCAGTCCAAGGTCACTGGAGGCTTGTGCAAGAGTGGGCGTGAAGGTAATCATTACTGGTTTGTGACTATAAATATACTTATTTTGAGCAAAATTTGATGCAGACTTAGGAACTCTTCAGATTTCATTCTTTCTGAGTTTTTGTATGTAAATATAAACCGGTATTCATATGAAATGCTTTTTTGGCTATATATTTTCATGGATTTTCACACAAAGGTAACAAGAACTGATCTTCAAGCCACTATTATTGGGAGTTATTATAATAAAAATAAAATTTTGGTAATTATTGAGTAAAAGATTTTTTTTAAACTGTATATAAGCATTTCCATGTACAATATCAGTATGTATATTAAATTTATTATGAAATGTCATAATTTATTGTATTATGCTCTGCTTATACTGCTGGTATATAAATATTATTTTCTATCAAAGAAAGAGAGAAACACATGTGATTTTTTTTTTCCTTTTTTCTTTGACAGCCAGTTAATCTGTTGTACAAGCCATTATCAGATTTCCAAGAAGAGCTTCTACCTCAGGACGTCCCTCTGAGAACGATATATAATATCTACGATGAACACGAACAAGACAGACAGCGTAGGTTCTATGCTGAATTTTTAAAAATTGTAGATTCCCAATTATTGTTACCATGTTTACAGATTTATTTCCCGACATGGTTGTTTCGTATTTATCAGAAAAACAAAATTTTTACGTATTTCTGTTAATGATTTATAATTTTTATATGACATGTACAAATATTTGTATATATATATGAGGATGAAATTTTCACAAATAGAAGTCTCACATTAATTATTACACAAAAATAGACTTCTCACTAATACAGGTATAGACTTTAAGGAATTAACAGTATTATTCACAAAGCTCTATGAATCAAATTCTCCTGACTGATTGATAATATGAATAAAGGACTATATTCGGTAATGACTAATATTTGCCCCCAAAAACCAACCTTTAACGGAGAAATATATAATTATGTTCTAAACCAGGGAGATATCTGCAGACTTCAAAACACTGAATATTTTCAAAAGCCATGACGCCATATGTTAGATATGACGTCAGGAAAATGACGTAATTTAAAAATTTCCATGTTTTATACAGAAAAAGGTGTATATTACGTCAATATTTGAGTAAATGTCACCGAGCGCAGGTCTGCTCCGACTCAATATTTTGATATAATGTGTAGAATGATAATATCAATGAAATATGTAAATATTGTTCTTGAGCAGGCCTGCGCTCTATAAAGTTTATAGTAAAAATTGAAAAAAAATTGTCTATTTTTCCTCTTTCTGAAAAATAACACAAGATCCGAATAGTTTGTGACGTCATAAAAACAAAAATTTCCAATGACCTACTTTGAAATAATACATTTTTTGTTAATTTAGATTTTTCATACAATATATACAATTCAGCACATTTCAAGAAATTTTCAAAATATGACTTTTGTGGGGGCAAAAATATGCATATACCGCATATAGTTCTTTTACAGATTTTTTTTTCTTTTAAATCTTAACTATTGTTTTTGACAGGAAAATTGAGATTGTGCAGGAGTGAGAGAAACAAGATAGAAATAGTTCCACAGACAAAGAAGACTCCAAGAAAACCTCGCGGGAAATCTTCTATAGGAAGGTCTCAGTCTGCCCGCTCACCAGCTGCTCGAAGTCGACTCACTAGGACTCTATCAGGTTATACAAAATCAGTGACTCAATTCATTAAGCTTTGAAGAGGATTTAGTTTAAAAGTTATTTTCATTCAACAGTTTATATGCTGTTTTGAATGCACCACAGGGCAATTGGAAATAATCAGGATTGGAGTTTAAATAGACTTGTATTGGGCTTGATCAGAAAGACAAATGCCAATATGCCTTATAACAGGGATATGACAAATTAAGTCCTGGCTCTCAATTACAGTTTGATTTTCAATTTTGTTTAAATTTCATATGTGAAATTTTTGTGAGTCTGATTTTGAGATATTGAGGTTAAGCTGTACATTAACTACAGATAATTAAATGGATGAAAGAAGGCTCACACTGTAAACTAAACAATGAAATCCTGTGTTAAAAAAAATTTGCTATTGCTTTTGTTTTACTGTCTTGCAGATGAAGGACTGAATAAAAGTAAAGGCAGTCTACAGAGAAACAGAACAGCATGGGCCACATCAGTGGGTCATAAACGGGTCACCCCTAGTGAACTCAATCAGAGGTAAGACATGAACTACATCAGTGGGTCATAAGGGGGTCACCCCTAGTAAACTCAGTCAGAAGTAAGACATGGGCTACATCAGTGGGTCATAAGAGGGTCACCCCTAGTAATCTCAGACAGAAGTAAGACATGGGCTACATCAGTGGGTCACAAGAGGGTCACCCCTAGTGAACTCAGTCAGAAGTAAGACATGGGCTACATCAGTGGGTCACAAGAGGGTCACCCCTAGTGAACTCAGTCAGAAGTAAGACATGGGCTACATTACAGGGGTCATCAAATGAACTCATTCGGAGGTAAGACATGGGCTATAAACTAAAATAGGTCTTAAGTGAGTCACACCAAATTAACTCATTTAAGGAATAAATATCTAATTTTTTTGTTTTATGATGTGATCAAGCAATTGGCTTGCGTGATAATTTGCATAAAATTATCACACAAGCCAATTGCTTGATCATCATTGTAAAACCAAAATATCTTACAGTTTTTCCTCATATTTACATGCTCTTGTTTCCGTAAATTCACGTGCTCCATGCACCACCTACTTCTCTTTCTCTGTCTCTGTCTACCACCTCGCACATAATTCTATTTAGACCACGCCTATCGATGAACCAGTAGCTTTATGAAGAAATCAAGTATTTTTACTAAAGCTGAACTTTGGTATCTCAAACAAGGATATCTTGAATATTATGGATATTTTGAGTGATTTGGAAGTCCCAAGCACTTTTTAGCCGGGCTCATTGCTCGTAGAGCCGGCTTATGTTACAGTGTTCAACCGGAAATGCTGCTTCCTCACCGCCAAATCAAATTTACGAGTAAGAATTTAGTACGTATGCTTAACCACCTTTGAGGCAATACAAACACTAAATTAAACAAATTTAAGTTAACTAAGAAATTCTCTAAACAAAAAAAAACCCATTAATGGTAATATACTTTTTCCCCTTTTCTTCAGTTAATTATTTGTTTAAAATATGCGTTAAGTTTTCATCAGGTCTCCTTGTCTGTGTCACATTCTATAAATAAAGGTAACACTAATGCGGGGTGCACGTGACGCGATGTACACCTTTATGCAACTCCCCGCTGAGGACTAGTCTGTGCATAAACGTTTGACCCCTGCATCAATGTTTATTTACTTCTGTAAGTGGTTTAAGACCCCGAAACGATACATGTGATAAATTGTTTACACTGTTAAATTCAAACTGCATTTTATTTTAATTTTTTAACCATTTTTTATTCATACTCTATGCCATAAATATATTTTTGTGTTACATATTCTTCCAGTCTTGTTGTTATTCATCTGTTATTACAATGTATGTTTCATGTAAAACAGTCTTTGTTTACTTCTCTGTAAATGAGCCCGGCTCTCTGTACTTCAGAGTACTTTGATTCTTTTAAGATTTTTACCCTCACTATCTCAAATCCTGGGATATCTCAAAGTTTTTCCATCAAGTTTGAGATAACAAGGTTTGACTGTATTTATAGTTTATCTCAAAGAAATTTAAGAATGTAAATATTCAGAGGTAAGGAGTGGGCTAACTTATATGGGTATTAAGGGAGTCACACCAAATCAGATACAGTCAGATTCAAAATGAACTTGAGATGGCCTGAATTTTCGGTAGACCATAGATATTAAGAGATTCAGATGACCTGTATATATTAAGCAGGAAAAGATTATTTTTAGGTAAAGCAGTAAAGAAAATATTTCATACCAAAATATTTACTATTCCAATAACAGATTTTAATTGAATCTTTATTTACTTACATACAATTTTAAAGTAATAGTGTATAGATGTTCTTGAATTATGATTTCTGTAATATTTGAACAGAATGACAGACCTTCATGAAGAGAGCATGAAACTAAGGAATGAACTCTTGTCCAGGAAAGAGAGGCCAGGATCTGCACGGTAACACTGATAATTCTGTGTTTATTATCCGTATTTGTATTTTACAGTGTTTTCCCTTTATTTCAAAGTAAAGGGTTTGAGATTAAATTGAAAAGGGTAGGGGTTGAGGTTTATGAATAAAATCTCTGTGGACCTTATAACTATTGATTCCTAAGCAGAATTATATCAATTGAAGTGGTCAATTTGGCTGGTAGCTGGTTCTTAGGGAAAACACTGATTTATAGGTATGATATAGAAAAGTAACAAGTACATGTGTAAATATACATGTTCCAATTACCATATGCATTTATTTAGCAAAAATGGTTTAATTTATATTTATTGAAGACCTGCTAATTATAAATCAGTGATTTTTATCAAGAGGTGCAAAGTATTGTGATTTTTATCAGATAAACAAATTACTTATGTCCCTTGAAATATTAAAGAACTAGAAATATGTCCATAGGACATGAATGCCCCGCCGAGAGTATATTAGTAATGCAACATTTTAACACAAATTGAGAAAAGTGAGGTCAAGGTCAAAGGAAAGGTCAAGGTGAAAAAATATTGATGCAGTTGAATAGCTTACATCAGTATGTATCAGCATATGAAGTTTGACACTAATTTAAGAAAAGTGAGGTCAAGGTCAAAGGAAAGGTCAAGGTCAAAAATTGTTGATGCAGTTGAATAGCTCTCATCAGTATGTATCAGAATATGAAGTTTGATAACACTATCTTGAATGGTATCTTTAAAACTGAGCTAAACACTAATTTAAGAAAAGTGAGGTCAAGGTCAAAAGAAAGGTCAAGGTCAAAAAATGTTGATGCAGTTGAATAGCTTACATCAGTATGTATCAACATACGAAGTTTGATTACACTATCTTGAATGGTATCTTTAAAACTGAGCTAAACACTAATTGAAGAAAAGTGAGGTCAAGGTCAAAGGAAAGGTCAAGGTCAAAAAAAGTTGATGCAGTTGCATAGCTCTCATCAATATCTATCAGCATATGAAGTTTGATAAAAATATCTTGGATAGTTTCTTTGAAACTGAGCTTTGAACAGAACTAAACGCAAAGTGTGACGGAAGGACAGATGGAAGGACGGAAGATGGACATGACAAACACTATATGCCCCGGCCATATTCATGGCGGGGCATAAAAATTGGTTTTAATTCCTTGGAATTAAGTCATCTTACTTCTTTCCATGGATGATGGATGGTACATGTAGTGCTGTTTATTAGAAATTTTCATGTAGACTCCAGAGGAATGTAGTCTTTTATCGTGAAACAAAAACTAGTACTTGTATATCATTAATATATTAGAACAATGTGATTTTTTTTGGTAAATTTATCACTATATATTGGCAGGGCTTCAAAAAAGTCTTCAATAAAGAGAAGCAAGAGTGCTTCTAGTCTCTCCCTGTCTGGGACCTCACTGCTAAACAAGAGTACTATACGAGAGGCCAGGCCAATAGAAAATACAAAACTCAGGAAAACCCTCAGCCAATCACAGGATCTGTCCAATATCACTGCCACACCTAGGGTAAGTAGGGAGGATAACTCTCCAATATCACAAAATCAATGCCACATTTAGGGTAAGTAGGGGAAATAACTCTCCAACATTACAGCCACTCTTATGGTAAGTAGGGGATAACTCTCCAATATCACTGTCACACCCAGGGTAAGTAAGGGAGGGGGGATAACTCTCCAATATCACTGCCACACCTAGGGTAAGTAAGGGAGGGGGGATAACTCTCCAATATCACTGCCACACCTAGGGTAAGTAAAGGGGGGGGGGGGTTAACTCTCCAGGGTAAGTAGGGGGGATAACTCTCCAATATCACTGCCTCACCTAGGGTAAGTAAAGGGAAGGGGGTAACTCTCCAATATCATTGCCACACCTAGGGTAAGTAAGTGGGGGATAACTCTCCAATATCACTGCCTCACCTAGGGTAAGTAAGGGATGGGGGTGGGGGTAGGGGGATAACTCACCAACATCACTGCTACACCTAGGGTAAGTAGGGGGGATAACTCTCCAATATCACTGTCTTACCTAGGGAAAGTAGGGGGGATAAATTTGCATAAGTTATTGTTTTAATTAGCAAATCAATCAGCATTTATTTGATATGAAATTGGCGTGTCAAGTAACGTAATTGAAATAATGTACTTTGCTTTCATTGCTCTTTAGTTTCCTACTCTCATTGTCAATTTGTCAGATACAAAGTTTACAACTGTGTAACCCACCCCCTTAATTTTCCCCTAAATTGAATCGGATTTAAGTGGACAACTTTCGTTAGTAAATTATGTAAATATTTGCGTTTTTTCTTCAAGGACCAGAGAATTTTAGAATTAATGATGATGAAAGGCGAGGGTGAGATTTCAGCCAACCGTGACCGCTTCATAGCTGACCTGGCATGGGAAGAACAGCATAAACTCGAGGAAGAGGTCAAGGTCAGAACTGAAATGAAAAGGAGGCAGCTACTGGCAGAAGAGAATAGAATTAGAGATATGAAGAAGGTAATCATGTAGAAAGAATAGAGATAACGATTGTCAGATATACAGTAATTGTTAAATCAGTGTAGAAAATTTATCATCTTATCTAAGCTTGTATACTGTACTTTTTTCATGGGATCATATTGTGGAATCTTAACTTCTATTCAATCTGCGAATACAAAATTATGCAGATGTCTTTGATTGCTCTTGTACATGTATGTCCTAAATGCACTTTAAATACACGGAGAAATTTTTGCATAAAATTTTTGATTCCATACATAAATACACATGTAGCATGAATTTATAACTATCTCACTCAGAAACAGATTCATCTAAGGCATTTAAGGAAGACAAATTAGTGCATTGGTGCTTGCATGAAGTGTCTTGTCTTGTTTGTGGGTCACTTTATTTTTAAGTGTCTTTATACTGGAATAAGAGTGTTTAGGGAAGAATTGTGTTGTCCACTTCTTACTGGTACTTTTCCTGAGAAAATGTGTCTCAGATGGATACACAGATAGACAAATGGATAAACAAATGATAAACAATATGTGATCCGTACTTATAAACATACCCAAACTTTTCTGCTTTTCTGTATTTGTGCTACAGTTATTCTGATTATATCACAAGGCAACTGTTCTAATCTAATAGAAACAGAAAGACAGAAGAAGAAAGAAAGAGGAGGAAAAATGGAAAGAAAGTGTAAATAGAGAAATACAAAACAGTTATAAGGACTGGGAGAGGAGGTCCCAGACCCAACTAAGGATGAGGGTAGGTAGTCCATGTTTTATGCCATAGTTATTATAGGTAGAGTTGAACTTCGGAATCTCTAACTTTGTTATCTCGAAAACCATGGATGTGTCAAAGTGAATCTTAATTATGCAATTTTGTTCAAAAACTAATCCAAACATGAAATTAATTCTTATCAGATATCAAAAGAATTTTCAAAGTAAACTACACAACTGTCTCCTCAATTAAATACAGTTGAACTTCGATATTTCGAACACTGATATCTCGAATATACCATGGATATGTCAAAGTGATTTGAAAGTCTCAAATGCTTATTCCTTAAGTATTTTACCCTGAATATCTCAAATCCTCGGACATCTTGAAGTATTTTCTTGGTCCCATCGATTTTGAGATAACAAGATTTGACTGTATATGACTGAGTATGTAATCATTTTTGTTAAAAAAAATTATTATCATAATAATTTGATCTACATCAGAGGACAGTCTAAGATTTGACATCAACAGACAAGCTGAGGAAAAAATTCTCTCAATTTATTAACTTGAATTTAGAATTACTGTTAAAAGCATATTTTTAATGAGAATCGAGTAAGTGAAAAAATATTTAGTTTCTGGTTAGAATGACTGAGGGATAGTTGAGTACTCCAGTACTCACTGATCGACATCCCAAATCATTACAGATTGTATGATTGTCAAGCCTTTGTAATAGGCTTTTACTTTGAAGAGTAAGGTATTTTGTTTTATAACAAGTCTATTTCGATTCTGATTTTTCTAGGACCTACAAATGTCAGACAGGAAAGAAAAAGAGGACCTTAAAAAGAGACTGCAAGTAAGAAATTAAAGCTGGTGTTAGAATATAAATCATTAAAGGGCACTGGAGCTGTCTACCTAAATAACAATATAAATATTCATGTTGGTGTATAAATGGCAGACAAAGCAGTCATGTGTCATGGATGCAACCTGAATTGATTTTAAATATGCATCAATGACCTGCTTAGCAACTGTTTAAAGCAAGCTCACCAAGGCAGTTTCAATGTATTACTATTTTGTTGAATGTGTCATTGAAAAGTGTTAGGAAAAAATTGTTCAGTTGCATGTTAATTTGATGCTTTATTAATGAATTATTAAAGAATACTTCACAACTTTTTGAACAAAGCAAGTTTTTCTGCACTGTGTCGCAAACTGAATAAAAGTACCCTTTGTTGAAGGAAGATTCTATATTGATCAATTCTATGCCATATGCTCAGATTCAAAGTTAAAATAGACACGAATAATCACACATACATGTACATGTATACTGTAAAATCACATGTTTTGGTGGGGTCAAATTTTCCAGGTTTGAGCAAAAAAATATTGGTTTGTTGGGATTTGATTTTGTGGTTGAAGAGGTGTTGAGTAGTTACGTATATTAAATTTTACATTTCATGGTGGACATGAATTTGTGGGTCTCTCTCCATACCTCGAAAACAATGAAAATTAAACCCCCACAAAAATTAGTGATTTCATAGTCATTTACAATCAGTCAAAATAATTCGTTGAATAAATGACTACAAATTCTCATGCTTCAGGAAACCAATAAGTCATTCCTGACGAGAGATGAAGAAGAAATGAAGGAATTGATTCGTATGAAGAGTGAGAGTGATTTAAAGTCTGCTTCCCAGAAAAAGGAGAACAGACTTCTACAGGAAACCATGGTAATTAATGCATTATGTAAAAGGAAATTTATCTTTATGGAACTTAAAGTGTCATTAATTAATTATTGTGAAACTTAAGGCAAATGCAGCTTAATGAGCATTTATAAACTCTAAATAGATATATAATCAGGCCTTTCAAAATCAGTCGGCACACTGTACTTTTATCCGACTGAAATCATGATTATATTGGCCAAAATATTTGATGGAGAGAAATTTTAAACATATTTTTAATTAAAACCACTTTCTCAAGGTACCTCCCATTTTTGTACCAAGGTACCACCAGTTTTTAATCTATTTGAAAACCCTGTATAATTATGTATGGTCTAATACTTTTTGGTAAATGTTGAATTATCTTACTAACAGATGCACCATAAATAACATCTAGAGTTCTGCTATCAAAGAATTGTGACATTTATAGTGAAGATAATGAGAGTTATCGCCCTTTATTTTCAGCGTAAGCTTCTGGAAGACAGGAGTAAGAGAGATGCCTTTGAACAGCGACAAAGAGAGCTAGAAAAACTCACAGAGTAAGTCACGAGCAGAAAACCTGCTTTCATTTAGACGCTCTAATAGTATTGTTAATAGAAAATCTGATATAGTTTGCTTGGATAAATTTCTGTCAAACATATTTACAGAATATTACAGTAATTATAGCAGCTGACTCTAAAGAATTCTGTGATTTGATTGATTGGTTAACCTCCCAGAAAAATGTTTGATTTAATGTGTGGATTAATTGAAAGATGTAGGAACTGTATTGTTCAGTGGCGCACAAAATCTGAAATATTCAGTATTATTTTTGTCTTACAATAAAACACCCTTATAGCGAACACGTTGATATTGAATTAATTAATAATGATTCTAAATTCCCCATGACTTTAAAATCTTATCTAACAGATATAACAAATTAAGCTTATAACAAAGCAAAATCATCCATCCCTGTTACTTCATTATAAGCATGTTTTACTGTATTTCTTCAGGGGATGTGGATAGAGAAGAGACTTCTTTTTAGTCAATATGAAATATTGCCTCTCTTTTTACACAGAAAAGAAGAGCAGAGTCTGAAATCTAGCATCAACAGAAAACACAGACATGCCTCCTTGAATCATCAGCAGGCCATAGAAAGGAGGGATAAGGAGTTAAATCTCAGCAGGTTAGTACCCTGTCACAATGAGATACAGATACGTGCAAAAGTATTCAGTCAAAATGGTGGCATTTTTACACTGATTAGGGAAGTATGAAAAAAAATCTATGCGAAAAAAAATTTCAATGAAATAAGTTTGAAAAAAAATAGACTTGGGGATGGAGCCATATAAGCTTTTAATGAAAGCAGGCATGATACTTGTCCTTATATGCCAAATTTCCTCTATCAAATTGTCTCTAGATTTTATTGCAGCAGTGTGTGGCTGAGGTTTTGGTTTGATGTGTAACCAAACATTTTCAATAATATATAAGTCTAGTGACTAAGCAGGCCAGCTTAAACAGTTATTTCGATTTCTAGCCTCATACTCTTGAGTTGACCTGGCTGGATGAACCGGTGCATTATCGTCCTAAAAATTATAACTATTTTGAAGAAAATGTCTTGCCAGAACAGGCCAAAGGTTTCCCTCTAACATGTCTTGGTATTAAGCAGCATTGACTTTTCCTTCTAGTGGGGTTACAATTCAAAGGCCATCCTCCCTGCAGGTGCACCCCCATATCATAACTTTATGTTTGGCTTGAGAAGTCCTCTACTGGACAAGCTAGTTCAGACCTCATCCTTTTTTTCTCCAAATCCAATTTGCTTGAGGGAAAAGACAATAGATAGTAGAGGACCGGGAGTTGGTGATTTTGTTCAGATGAGAGTTTGAATCATGATGAAAGGATTTGAATTTGGAGATATTGTCATGTGATCATGCAACTAAATTTTCTAAATTTATACAAATCTACTTCCTGTGATATGATAATAAGAGGGCAAGGTAATTTTTTTTTCATTTTTAAACGTAAATATGCCAGCATTTTGTGATGAAATACTTTTTGCACGTGACTGTACATATAGTACACCTTCATATGAGATGTGTGTAGAACACTTCCATATAAGATACATGTAGTACATCTTCATAAGTATGGGATACATGTAGAACATACATGTACTCATATGAGATACATGTAGTACACATTCATTTGAGTTAGTGACCAGTAAATGAGAATAATACATGTATTTATACAACAGCAGTGTCCCAACAAATCACTGCCTTGTGCAATACTCTAAGATAATTTAGTTGACATATTATGCTGGATATAATGTCAAAAAACACAACTTTGTAAAGAAATTTAGAATAGAGTAACGTTGAATCACTACCTTCATATCAACTTTCCTCTGTCGTGGAACTCCAGTCATTTTAAGGTGTATTGGGGTTATTTTCTTTTCATGATTTATTTGTCTGTAGTTGACTTTGCTTTAATGATGTACAGTAAAATTGCCATTTATCACCGCTCACACTTCTCTGTTAGACTTTGGAAGGCCAGATGAACACAGGGAAAACTGATTAACAGTAATTGTTGTGAAAAGATAATTTCACTTAATTTTATTACTCCTTTAAAACAAAGTTGGAGGGGATAAAGTGGGTGGATGAGCTTGTGCGAAACAAAAGTACTGTAAACCAACTATTATTCACGTCATCTTTTATTCCCGATTCGTCAGTTTAAAATCAATCCGCGACGATTAATTTTCTTGACTGAGGAAACATGCTCTACAAAATCAAAGCAAAATAAATGGTTCACAGCGATTAATATTGGCGAGTAAAAGTAGTACGCGAAACTCGTGGATATTTCTCACACACGAATAAAAATTGGTTTACAGTAATAATTTATATCAGGATCGTTGTGCCGTCATGCAAGGGGATGCCACGCTTTGTGGCTTATTAAATTTAGTACTTGTACATGTTTATTATTAAGTTCTTGGTTTTAGCTACATTTACATTGAACATTTTAATGCTATTATTAAGGTTGTATAAGAAATAAAAGGAATAAGTGATTTTGACAGGATGGAGAGAGAAAGGAAATCATTACATGCCAAACTAGCTCAGCAAAAACTGGAAGATGAAATGGATGAATGGCGTTCTTCTATCACAGACCACAGAAAAATGGTAAAATAACAATAATTTTCTTTCATATTCATCTCAAATGACATTGCCAACATTTTGAAAGGAATACATTTTTAAAAAAAATTAAAAGAGTGAGAAAGCTGATTTTGGTACATTTAAATTTCAGTATGTAATTAAATAAAATTGTTAAGTATTGAAATCTAGTGACTTAACACATTCCTGAATTTTAATGTCTGTATCATTTCTTTTGGAAATGTTGACATGCAGTTTGTTTGTTTTCAGGCAGAGGAGCATGCCTCGGAAATAGTGGCCAGAAAAATGGACATAAAAGCAAAACAGGCTCATGAAACCCGCACGGAGAAAGAACAACAGCAAAAAGAAAAACTCAAACTGTTAGTTCCTTATCTGCAGCCTATTCATTAATGATTAATTAAATAATCAACTATTTATTACTGAAAGTATTGAATATGTAAAAGACAAACATTTTTTGTTATTTTATATTCATTTACAGTTATTAAGGTTTATACTTCGTCATTATTTTCTGCATTCCTTATTTTACATTTACTCTGAATTTCTTAGACATTATGGAAAATAATTAAATTATAATCACTTTCGGAAATTTTTAAGATTGGAGAAAGAAGACCGACTAAGAAGAAGGGAGGTGGAGGATGAGATTTCGATCAAAGAACAGCGAGCCCGCAGTGTGGAATTAGACAAAAGTATCACCATACAAAAGGTAGGTAAAATGAGAAACTAATAACTGGAAAAGAGGGAGGTGAGGGGGAAGTTATTTTGAGAGCAGGACAACCAGAAAAATGTATTTCAGGTGAAAATTAGGGAAAACAAACAGATGTTCATGTATTGCAAACATTCACTGATTGATAAACAGACAATTTATTTTACTGGAAGTAAGGATAGGGGTCAGATACATGTATGTCCTATACGTACAATTATGTAATTATGTTATATGATTTGATTTTTATGATTAAATATTGATATTGCACTAGAATCTGGTAATAATTCTTTAACTAGACATACATTCAATGTAAGTATGTTGGACAGTTGATATTTTTTGAATTAATATGTTAATTTCTAATTTCATTCTACAATTGATTTGCTTGTTACTTTCTAAATATTTTTATGTTTACATACTGCTTTCCTGAAAATGTTCATTCGACAAGATCTTGTCAGATTAGTTTTATTGAAATATATTACATACTAAAAATGGAAGAATGTAAAAATGGAAGAAATCACTTTGAGAGAAACAAAATAATATGTTCAGAAGCATTTAAAAGATAATTTTGTTACGTATATAATTATTTCCTAAAACAAACCTTAAAGCAAAAATAAACAGTAAAATCTTTTTTTCCCTTGAAAGTTACATTTTGTTGCAATATCAAACACATACATGTATCCCAGATGAAATCTCTTCCACACAATTATGATGATTAGATTATTCTGATCTTGTTTGTTTAAAACTTTTTTGGATTACAAACTAAATACTTTTTTTTGATCATGTTCCTTCTTTTTTTTTTTCATTTTTATAAACGAATTTCAAAAATTTATTTATGTTATTATTTTTTAGTCCAGAGAAGTTGCTCACCAATCCCAGATTCTGAGGAACAGCTTGAGAGAGAAATATGGTGGTGAGAGTTTTGACAAAAAAGTTCAGAAAGTTAACCTCTATAGCAAGCTAAAGCTTGGCCAGTATGTACCACAAAGGAAAGTCTGATAAAAGCTGCCAGGAACTCAATTTGACCTACTAAAGGAAGTTTGAGTAAAGCTGGGTCAGTTTATAACACAAAGGAAAGTTTAGTGTATGATATGCTGTGCTATTGAAACAAAAAAATCTGTGATGAATCTTGTTTTTAGTCCAAGTTATGTGATACATTTATACATGTACACTCTTCATTCCTAAAATACATAATGACTGTGTTTTTGAGACAGCAGAGCCAAAAACCTTTTTAAGAGATAAATGTTTATATAATGTTGTCTGATTTACCAATAGTATAATGGTTATGAAATGAAAATTTAGAACCAGTATAGTATAGCTTTCTGCTCAGCTAAACTAACACAGGTCTCTATAATTAGAATTAAGCCATTTTTTGAAGCATTTAACATCCGCATCAATGATGCAACATTATTTATTCAGAGCTTTTAACCCTTACGATTTGGGAATAAGACTTACAGTTTTAGCATCTAAAATACACCTTAGGATTTCTGAATTTATTCATTCAATTTCCATTTTTCTCTTTCAGAAGTTTAATATAACCAGAATTTTCAAAGCTGCCAACCTTCGTAATAAGTCACAGTCCTTAAAGTGCTTGCCTGTATCGTCTTTTTTCTTTTCTATGCTAACTTATTCTCTAAGTTATCTTTATGTAAACAAAATGGAAAAATTCTAGTGCGGGGATGTCCTTACAATTTTTCATTTTATGATGTTGGCAGCTCTGTTTATTCATAAAGAACTTTTTTTAGTTTGATGGTTGGGAAGGATGAAAGGTGTCTCTTTTTTTTTGCACTGTAGAGTGAAAGTTGTAAATTATAGGAAGAGTAGTGTATGTTAGAGAGAGTAAAAATGTTAAAGTGAGTATTTTGTACAAGTACTGGTAGTTACTGAATTGTTTTAATAAATCTGTGTTACAATAAAATGTGCATTCATAGATAATGTTTGCAAATGTTATATCTTAGTTAATTTAAAAAGTCAAATATTTAAGAGGTAAATATTCAGCTTTCTCATGGATTTTGTAAAATATTAACATGAAGAGAAAACATGTATACATTTCTTTGAAAGAGGCTAGATTTTTAGAAGCTTCACATCCAGCTGCATAATCATTTTAATGGTGTGAAACATCGGATAAATTTTTTAAAGATTTTCTTAAAGAAATATTGGGTCCTACCATATGTTCATTGTTTAGATTATGATTGAATGGAGAAATAAAAAAAAATATTTTACCTCCATGAGTTTTTGTAGTTATTTTTAGCTCACCTCAACGAAGTTGGGGGAGCTTATGTAATACCCTCGGCGTCAGTGTCGGCGTCGGCTTCCCAGGTTAAGGATTTTGGAGCAGTTTTCTTTTCAAGTACTTCTATGGCCTATATTAGTCAGAGATGCATGGAGGATGCTTCTAGTGTGTTTCATTGTACCAGTCAAGGTTTCAGATGCTGCAATTTCAGCTACATTGTAAAGAATGACCAGGTTAAAGTTTTTGGAGCAGGTCTCATTTCCAAGTAACTATAAGCCCTATATTGACCAAACTTGCATGGATGATACATCTAAGGATGCACACTGCTGAACTTGCTTCAGATGCTGGATCTGACCTACATTTTCCGGAAGAGTGACTAGGTTGAGGTTTTTGGAGTAGATCTCATTTCCAAGTAACTAAAAGCCCTATATTGACCAAACTTGCATGGATGATACATTTAAGGATACACACTACTGGACTTGCTTCAGATGCTGAAACTGACCTATATTTTCCGGATGAGTGACCAGGTTAAAGTTTTTGGAGCAGATGTCATTTCCAAGTATCTATAAACCCTATATTGACCAAACTTGCATGGATGATACATATAAGGATGTACACTACTGGACTTGCTTCGGATGCTGGATCTGACCTACATTTTCTGGATGAGTAACCAGGTTAAAGTTTTTGGAGCAGATGTCATTTCCAAGTAACTATAAGCCCTATATTGACTAAACTTGCATGGATGATACATCTAAGGATGCACACTACTGGACTTGCTTCGGATGCTGGGTTTGACCTATATTTTCCGGATGAGTGACCAGGTTAAAGTTTTTGGAGCAGATGTCATTTCCAAGTAACTATAAACCTTATAATGACCAAACTTGCATGGATGATACATCTAAGAATTCACACTACTGGACTTGCTTCGGATGCTGGATCTGACCTACATTTTCTGGATGAGTAACCAGATTAAAGTTTTTGGAGCAGATCTCATTTCCAAGTAACTATAAGGCCTATCTGAACCAAACTTGCATGGATGATGCATCAAGGGACGAACAATCTCAAAACTTGCTTCGGATGCTGGATTTGACTTACATTTTCTGAATGAGTGACTAGTTTTAAGTTTTCAGATAAGTCTATTCCCAAGTAACTGCAAGCCCAATCAGACCAAAATTGCATGAATGTTGCATCTAGGGATGCACACTCCAAGATTATTAGTTTAGTGTGGGACTTTGCCTTACTTAAAGACAACATTTGTTGAGGTGAGCTCTGTAATCTCTGATTACCTATGTTTATGAGAAGGACACATTGACGGGGTTGCAAGAACTCAAAGGGTAAAATTCTGTAATGTAGAAACTACTGCAGTGAGCTGAACAACCTTGGGTTAGGGTCATGGCATATCCTCTGATCATTATTCACCACTTTCCTGAGAATGAGTTCTCAGGAAAAGGGGGAATAATGATTTGAGGATATGTCATCAAATTGTTCACTATTACATATGTGCTAAGTACAGGGGCATTCTTTTTTCACATGATTTCAACACATTTTGTTTTAAACAGTACACTTGCAAATCGATTACAATTAAGTAATTTAGATATCTATCAGAGTTCTGTTCTTAATCTGCTACTTTCTGACAAGGAATTCCTTATTGCAACATTACACAGTATATCTGGTTCTTTTCGCAAGTTAAAAATCTTCACAGTCTCAAAATGGGCCATATTTATGCACCACAACAAATTGGTTGATTCATATGTGTTTTTGTGGGCTTTAGCTCTTCTGAGCCAAAAACTTAAAGAGCTGCATGTAATACTGTGGCCATTCCATTTGAGCTGTATGCATCACATATTTATGAGGGTGATGTTGTAAGAGCCCCTCGGCCAATTTTTATCATATGACAGTATCATTGGGCCAAGGACTTTCATTCATACTAAGAATAGGGATTTGACCTTTATACAAGGGGAAATAATTATGGAAATATCCAAAAGAAGTTTTTAAAAAAAATTACTGTAAGTAGATTATGTCAGAACTTAGACAAAAGTTATAATATATTAGATTAATAAGTGTTCAAGGGCAAAGGGTGTTATTTCAAGGTCACTTTAAAATTGAACCTAAAATTGATATTTAGTTTAAACTTTGATATTTTTCCCTATATCAGACATGAGGTCATCAAAACTGGTCAGTTGATCTATCTAAGGACCCCAAGATTTATTTACTCAAAAGTAAGTCAAAGTGACCTTTTTTTTTTTTAAATAATTTCGCAGTAATTTATTTTGAAATTGTTTTTAGATGCATATCTTGGACACTGAGGCCAAAGATCATAAAACTTTACAGTTGATTCATCTTGGAGACAAGGGATATATCAGACAAAATACAGGTTACAGAGACACACCTCCTGAATTTTTAGCTCTATTGGTCAGAGACCAGAAGAGCTTAAGTGATAGTAAGGTGTCTGTTGTCTGTTCGTCTGTCCATCTGTAAATAATTTTTCAAAATGCTCCTTCAACAGTTTTGGTCTGAGTTTCATAAAAGTAAAATACTTTCAAAACACTACTTCCCCTACAGTTTTTGTCTGATATCAGTATAACTTGGTACACAAGTAGACTTTAATAAGATATATAATTCTGTTTATTCCTTTTTGATTTCGATGAATGGTGTTGCCATGATGACTATATAAATAGAAATTTCTGTGAAATACTTTCAAAAGGCTACTTCTCCTACAGTGTTAGTCTGATTTCAATATAACGTGGCACACAAGTAGACTATACTAAGTTATATATTATTCCGTACATTTGTGTTTGATTTCGATGAACGGTGTTGCCATGGTTACTAAAAAAGAAATTTTCTGTAAAATGGATTCAAAAGGCTTCTCCTTCCGTTTTGGCCTAATTTCAGTATAATTTGGCACACAAGTAGATTGCACTAAGCAAAATAGTACTATATATCGGATTTTTTGTTTCGATGAATGGTGTTACCATGGTTACTAAAAATAGAAACTCCTTTGAAATACATTCAAATGTCTACTTCTCCTACAGTTTTAGTCTGATTTCAATATAACTTGGCACACAAGTAGGCTACACTAAGATGCATAATTCTTTGTATCGGTTTTTGATTTTGATGTGTTTCCGTGGTAACTAAAAACAGAAATTTCTGTGAAATACTTTCAAAAACATTACTTCTACAGTTTTGGTCTGATTTTAATATTACTTGGCATGCAAGTAGACTACACTGAGATACATAATCGTTCTTATTGTTTTTTGATGAACAATGTTGCCATGATTACTAAAATTAGAAATGTCTGCAAAATCCTTTCAAAAGGACAACTCCTCTTACATTTTTGGTCTGATTGCAATAAATCTTTCCACAAAAAAGACAACCAAGGATCATTATGCTATATTAATTGCTGTTTCAAGTCCAAGTGCTACTCTTCTCTTCTTTTGTTATAAGTACAAACCAGTAGAGCTACAATCCCGTCAGAGACTTTTGGTTTGGCTATGCATTTTCAAAATTTATTGGAAACTGAAAGGATTCGAAACATTAAATCATGTTAGCTGATATACCTTTGGGTCAAGGGGTGTGTCAACAAAATACATGTAGGGGTCACAGTCATCTACTTTTGACTGTTTGTCAACTCAACAGTCACAGAGACCTACATTTTTGAGATTTTAAAATTTTTCATGGAAAATATGTTTATCCTGGATACTAAGAGAACTTGGAACAACATACCTACTTAGTTGTGGTATCTCCGGAAATTATATCCGAAAAGTAGGTCACAATGACCTACCTATTTGAATTTGATCATTATTTAATTTGATGTCAGATTAATTTCTTTGATTTCTTTCTCTTAAATACTTTGACGAGTAGTATCATCATGCAATTTCTTTTTCATTATATTTCCGTAGGGACTTGAAATAAGATTATCAAAGTCTGTCAGTTGATATGTCTTTGGAATTCAGGATACATTAACCTCAAAGTAGGCAATAATGACAATTAGAAGAGCAATTTTAGGCCCTCTGGCAACTTGTTCACTCTGTCATTTATTTTTACAGTAGTTTTATTGTGTTTTTCGAATGTTTGTTTCTTTTTGAAACACCATAGCCTAGCTATTCATTTTGAGGAAATTCCGCCATCGTAATGTGTATATTTATTCTCTCATACTATGGAAATAAAAATTGTGAAATTAAAATGCCCTTATTTAAGGTTACTCTATGCTAAAGTTTGTTATTTACCCTACATTGTGTGTTTGATATCATAAAGGAAAAATACACCACCTTTGGACAAAAGTCTGACTGTTTCCTCCGTATTCTAAGTGTATATTGTATCATACTTCATTTTGTGTTATATTGTGGCCTATTCTGGTGCAAATTTTCTTTATTAGAAAAAACATACAGTCATGTAGATCTACATTTTTCGCCGAAAAATCCTGCAAATCATGATCCTCCGGAACACAAGGGTATGTATTTTTTCAAATAGTTTATTTAGAAAAATGTTCATAATTTCACGCACTATACATAAATTGCAAAAAGTCGAAAAAAGGCAAAATAAAACCGGGAAAAAAATCATTGTCCTGTCAGCAACCAATGACTTAACCTTCACATTTTAAACACAGACGGATTGAAAATTAAGAATCACAGAAATTAGTCATCAATTTTCAAAAAGAAAATGGGGAGGGGTCTTATGCCTCGAAACAAAAGGATACACAAAAAATATTTACCATATTGCCATATGGCACTGGGTTTTTAATTTGTTTTGTTTATTTTATGATTGTAATTTTTTTTTTCATTACATGTACCTGAAGTCTTCAAGTGACATTGTTCATCGTTGCTCTTCTTGTGTCTTGATGTTAAACATAATTATTTAATATGACTCTTAGGAAATATGTACTTTCCGGAGCTCTAAGGTTATTTTAACATCAATCAAACTTCTATTTGTCATCACTAATACATGCATGTCGAATGGACCTATA